CAAATGGAAAATAGCCCATGAAACATCTTTGTATCCCTTGGTTTTGCGATTTCTGCGTAAACTAAACTGTTCGGGAGATTCCCCCGGGAGCCTTTTGAGTTTCAACATGATCCTGATACATTGATTTTGAGCCTTGGTAATCAAATCCGCCGTCGTCTTACAGGGACCCAGGCAGCACCTCTGGAGCGGATAATCCCCCCCGCCATACAGTTAAGTTTTGAGAGACGTTTAGACATGGGGATCTGCTCGTTGATCAAGAACCTACTGTTAGCCCAAAAGGCTTTGTTGATCTGTGAAATACCCTGCTTGACATCTTCGTGACAGGATCCAGTGGCAGAGAGAATCGGACCCAGCACCTTAGCCTCCGGTACAACAGACCAAGTTTTCCCAAAGGGATCGGACCAATTGTATCCTTGAAATAAATAGGGGTAGGCCGGAAGGATTTCCCGATCGTCCTTGAGTTTGAGCCGATGTTCATTCCAGAGCTCCGACTCTACCAGTGCAGTCAGAGTTGCAAGGTCTTGTTCCGAGGACGCCACCACGAAGATATTATCTGACCAGCTGAGAAGGGCAATCCTGAAATCGAAGCCCAACTGCTCACAACGGATAGAGATTCCCAAAGAAGAATGGGTAATTTTCTCCAGGGTGGAGGCGAAGCAATCTTCTACGGAAACGCGCGCCAGTATGCATGCAGTCCCAGCTCCCTGCATCAACCCACGGTCTCTCTGGATAATCCCAGTGTTTGAGTCCAAAAGGGAGATGGAGACTCGAGGGTTCCTATGCAATCTGATGCAGCCCACTGCTAAGAAAAGAGGGACCCCCCGTCCCAGTAGACTCCGCAGGACTAATCCATAGCGAATCTGATCGTGGTGAGCTTTGATGTCAGTAATCCCAACCATTCCTTTGTTAAAATGATCTCGGCCGTATTCTAAAATGTGATAGACACTGGTATGAAGTTCCTGTAATTGTCCACCTTTGCTGAGCCCAAAAATAAGACCTTTGAGACCTTTAGAATCAGTGTATGAATCCAAAACTGGCAGAATGGCCCTTGCCACATATGCGTGCCCAATCTTGGCAATTGCTGGCTGAGGAATGACAACTCTGGTTTGAGAAAGGGGTTCCAAAACCCTTGATCTTGTTACCCAAGTGGCCCCCGAATGTGACATCGTTCCAAAATTCGGGATCGCCTAAGCAGGCCTGTATACACCCCGTGAGCCTTTGGGACCATCCCGAGGCTTTTACTACCGCCGTACAGGCTAACTCTGTGTCGATCTTACGGGGTGCCTTGATGTTGTCCAGCGCGTCTTCCAGCAGGGAAGGAATGATGGAGTCGTTGTAGAAGTTGAAGAAACCCAGAGAGCGAAGCCAGGCGATGTCCTCTTGCCGTTCCGATTCTGATAGTCCCCACCTCTCGCTGAATTCTTCAGCCACCAGTGTGATACAGCGGTCCACTTCAAAAATCTTGACTTGATCTACACAGAAACCCAATATGGGTAGGAGGGTCTTGCGGGAGGCCCAGACCCGTTTTCCTTGAGAGGCGTTGAGCGCAACCTGAGCCAAATCGCGTTGAAGTTTAGTTATCTTGAGAGCTTTCAAGAGGAGCTGACCCAAGGAGACCCTCGTGGCTTCATTAAGTTCGGAGTTGAACCGTGTCCTGAGACTCTTGACCCAAAATGGCTCTTCGGCAAATCTCCTAAAACTCCTTGGGAGAGCCTGAGTCGCTTCATAAACCTGGCCCAACATGTTTTCCCAGAAATCAAAGGAGAGGGTGAGGTCCCTTGGGTCATGATACCTGACCGCACATGAATCGGGCTGTTCTTCGTCATTTAGACGAATAAGTTCCGCTGATTCGGGAAACAGACCCTGGGCGATCTTCCTAACCTCCAAAATGTTTGTAGGAGTCCACAAGAGAGGTCTTCTCTTACGCACCTGCTGGTGAAAGGCCAGCACATCACAGCCAACAAGGGCATGGTCCCCTGGGACGCCCGCCCAGCGGGCGAAACAATCAAAAGTGAGATCACTCCTGGCGAGAGCTATGTGATCGATCGTGCTGTTGGCTTGAGAGAGCGCCTGCTCACCATCAGGCTTCCTAGTGAATTGCATGGAGGTCTCTTGGAACCTGAGAGGGCACCAACGGAGATCGAGGCATGAACAAGCTTCACAGAACGATCGGAATTTCGGATCTCCGTTGCCTTGATCGGCATTCATGTCCCCCAACCAAGAAAGAGTAGACCCCACGGGGCGGGATCGACCGAGTTGGATGGCACAGTTTAGAGAATCATGGAAAAAATCGTGGGCAAGATGAGAGAAGAGAAAGGATCTGGCATGATGGTGGCATCCATCGAGACAGTCGGGACGAAGATCAACACGGATAGATCTCCAATCGCAGACAATGTCTTTCACACGTTTTCTCAGAGATTTGTGCACAAGCACGCCCATGGCCCTACACCCAGGGCCAGAGTGATGGCGGTAGTAAGCGTGGCCATTGAAAACAGGGCGTAGTAGCCCATCGTTTTGAAGACAGCCCTTGAAATCCGCCTCTAATATACAAATTAAGCCCCAGCACTTCAGCTCGAGCAAATCTAGGTTGGCTTGCATTTGAGTCTCGTCGGCCCATTTGCCCTGCACATTGAGTGCACATACGAGACCCCTCACGTGAGCATCTCAGAGAGATAGTGCCTCGTCGATGGTGTCTTTAAGCGTCTTGCGGAGCGCTTCGTCGGGGATCTCCTTGAGAGACTCGTGCCACTGGAATTCCCCATCTTTGATAGCACCTATCTGACGGTCCAAGACGAAAAATTTTCGAGTCCGAGAACAAACCACGTAACTGTCCGTGCGATCTCCCATTGCCCTTTCCAGTGCTTCTGAAACGGTCTTGAACAATTTTGCTGGGCCACGCTCCTCCTTCGTACTAATCTGGCCACACCAGGTCATATGTTCCAAGTGCCCAGGGATCTTGAGATCACGGATCGTAGCTGCCGCTTGAAGTCCCACCGCAATCGAACTCCATTTGATCTCAACACAACTCCCATACCCAAATGGTGCAACAATATGCGTGGGCTGGGGAACATCCGCTCGGCGAAGGACCGCCCGTGCCTTCTCCAGAGCCTCCTGCTTCTTGAGATTCCAGCCCAGGTTGGTGAGAATGAAGATGTCTCTATCTGCTCTTGGGGTGCTGGCCCACGGCGGACCCTTTTTCCTAGACGGACCCTGGCTTGACTGACTTTCTAACTGTTTGGCGGCCATTTCCGCGCGCAGGGACTTCTGCTCCAGTTCAACAGCAAGAATCCTTTCGTTGAAGGCTTTCTGCACCTCGGTTTCACCTGCCTCAAGGTTGGCAAGCTTTACTTCATGGTCATTGATCAAAGTGACGGCCACTGAGAATTCCTGAGCCAACGCCTTTTGAGTTCCCAATACATCAAGTTGTAACGAATCAATACGGTCCTTGATAGGAGCGATCTTTTTATCTAGGAGAGACTCGAGTTGCGCCAAAAACCCGTCGGCACCGGTGGCGGTCGAGGCAGCCCCCGATGGAATCGAACCATTTTCTCCCAAGCCCGTACCCTTAGCAGATCCCTTGGCCGCCAAGGTTCTCATAGCTTTCGAGGCTTCTTGCTGATTTTCTTTGTCTTCGTCTACCGTCCGAGCTTCGTCTCTCAGTCTTTTCTGCTTATCGATATCCAACGATAAGAGCTTTTGCATGGTTTCTCCAATCTGCAATGTCGGCATGGCCAAAAGTGTTAAGCACGAGCCAGTTACCCAAAATTTGAGATGGAAATGAAACGCCGAATTGACAAAACCCAGTAAGATTCACGAATTCGCCAAATTGAGTCGATATCCCACCGATAGAGGTGATATCCCACTGATAGATCCCACTGATTGAACCCAAAGCCAGGCGATCTCGCTGAACAGGAAGAAGACGGAGAAGGCAGCGATGGCTGCCGCGCCCCCCCCCACTAGAGCGCCCTTGAGCGCCCCCCTTGAGCCCTTGAGCGCCCTTGAGCGCCCCCTTGAGCCCTTGAGGCCTTGAGCCAAAGGCCTGGAAGCCAATAGGGAGATGAGAAGGAGCCAAGAGGGAGCCAAAGGGATCCAAGCGGAGCTTGCTGAAGGTTTTTTTTCTATATATATATATATATATATATATATATATATACATATTATCCCTAGCGGCTGCACGCTTACCCAGAGCTCAACTTAGGAGCGTGGTCGGTCGGACTGGCGGTAGCCATCCAAATCATTCACAACTTCATTTCACTCGCACGGACGCCCGATCGCACGGGCGCTAAGTTCTGTAGCACTCCAATCGGGATACGTGAATTCAACAGAACAAAATCATGTTGACAAAGGCCGAGATCGAGAGACTCCACTCCCTGATGAAAAGAATCACAGAAAGAAAGCCTCCACGCATCGGCACCGACTGCGTCTGGAAAAGAAAAGGTGGGAGGTTGGGGACGGGCGCGGTGCGCTTGAGCATGTATGTCACGGGCGATGCAAGCAATCGTTCGCGACGCTCCTCGCCTCTCTGGAAAACACATGTCACAGACAAAAATTATCCCTAGCGGCTGCACGCTTACCCAGAGCTCAACTTAGGAGCGTGGTCGGTCGGACTGGCGGTAGCCATCCAAATCATTCACAACTTCATTTCACTCGCACGGACGCCCGATCGCACGGGCGCTAAGTTCTGTAGCACTCCAGTCGGGATACGTGAATTCAACAGAACAAAATCATGTTGACAGAGGCCGAGATCGAGAGACTCCACTCCCATATCTGCCCATAAGGCATCTGGCGAAGCCGGCTTCAGCATTTCCGAAGAGCCCGAAGGAGCTTGACGGGAAAATCTCTCTCCGCAACCGAAGCTTTTCTGTGCTGTTCAGGCGTCATCTTGTGCACTTGCCGAAGGATTTTGCCGTGCTTCGAATACCTCACCACACCCTGAGCATGGGCCCACTGGCCACGTTTCTGGATCTGGCCGAGTGTCGCTAGGCCCATATACATGTCATGCGAAGCACCGGCATGCCGAACTCCGTGAGGCGAGATGTCCAGATCGGTGAGGCCCAAATCAAAAGCGGCTTGACGAAAGAGGGCCTCGTACTTGGAGAGAGTCATATCGAACATGTAGGGAGCTGCACTGCCCACGCGGTACCAGAGGCCGACCGCCTCCGCCACCCAGGATCGTTGCAGCTCACCGATCACCACTGTCCCGTCCACAACCCCTGTCTTGGTGGGCGCTGCATGCTCGGCCTCACCCAGAAGCAGCGCCCAGGCCCGCGCGCATCGCTGGCCTGCCCGGGGCGCAGGCGGCAGCACCGAGGACAGGAGGAGCGACACGGCTTCGTCCGGCCTCAGGTAGCAGTCGAACTGCAGGACCAGGCACACCGCGGCGTCGGTCAGGCCCTTGTCCAGGAAGTAGAGGCCGATCAGGCAGACGACGCCGAAGGGGATGGGGTCGCGGACTCGCTGAGGAGCCCGAGTGGTCCATCCTCGAAGCGCCCTCGACGTCTTCGGGAACAGGTTGGCTTTGTTCCGATCCAGGTGCGTCTCGAAGTGAATGTAGCCGTAGAGAACGTTGCGGCCTTCGGCGGGACCTGACCCCTCGAAGTACAGGTCGGTGAAGTACTGTTCCATCGCTGAGTCCGTGGAGCTGAAGCTACCCAGATCGTAGTGCTTTGACTTCGCCCAGCCCTTAAACCTGCCGAGCGCGTCTGAGTAGAGCCGCTTCGTGGAGTCACGGATGGTCCCGAGCCGCAGGAAGTTGTCGCGCGCCGCTGGCGGGACTCGCGCCCTGCGCGCCACCGCCAGCCGCTCCTTCTCCTCGCCGACAGCCGCACGGCCCTGCTGCCGCTGCGGCGGCCTCAGGGCCGCCTTGATGACCCCGCGCGCCGCCGAACTCGACGGCGTGGCGCGCGAGGAAGTGCTGCCCGCGGCTCTCGGCGTCAGTCCCGCCGTGAGCCTCGCCGAGTTTCGCTGCAGCACCATGCGACCGCGGCACCGGCGCCTCCAGCTCCGTGTCCCACTCGGAGGCGAGCGGCTCGGAGTCGCCGAAGGCCTGAGGAGGCGCCGCCGAGCATAGCGCGGCAGCCCACTCTCGGCAGAGGGCGGGCGAGTAGGCACCAGCCTTGAGCCCACCCTGCAGAGGCTCATGACGGTGTGACCCATCACATCTTCTCCCCAGGACGTCCAGACAGATGGCGTTGGTGAAGATGGTGGTCGGTTTGCGAACATTTTCTCCGAATCCACAAAGATCGAACGAGACATATCGGGCGTCTGGCAGACTGGCAAGGACAGCAAGGGGCTCGAAGCGAAACAACTTCGAGCTGGCAGGATTCTCCAGCGACCACAGTACGCCACAGCGGTCACACTCTTTGATGACCTCAGCTGTGAAGAGCGCCATGTCGACAGAAACTGCTTCCAACCGCCGTGCCCGCTCAATGTTATAAGGCGTGGAGCGGGCAACTGACCAGGCGGAGCATGCTGCCCCCAGATGTACGTACCAGACCTTCCCGCTCAGAATCCAGCGCAGCACAGCTCGCTGCGTCGATCGACGTGACAGATCATACCGGGCAGAGCCCTTGATCTCGGCGCCTGGTAAAACCCGCAGCCCCAGGCGCTTGAGAGAGGCGGTGAGCCGGCCCGAGCCCGCGAAGAGCTCGAGCGAGGCTTGGGCCGCCTGGGGCGCGCCATGATGTCGAGGCGCGCCCAGGCGGCGGCCTCCCCTCCGCTGAGGGGCCGCGGGCGCTCCGCCCTCAAGCCTCGTGGGCACCAGCACTCGAGGTACACGGGGGCGACGGGAGCCCTCGTCTGCGTGGTTCCTGTCCGTGCGGATGTGGCGAACCCGCCAAGCCACGCAGCCGGCAATCTGGTAGGCCGCGGCTCGGCGGCACAGCGCGTTGAGCGCCCAGCTCGACGAGCGGCCGCGGTCGAACACCACGGCGGACACGAGGTTGTCCGACAGGGTGAGCAGCCGGCGGTGGCAGCCCCGTCTGGTCCGTAAGCTACGTCGGAGTCCCATGAGACAGACCCTAGCCTCCTTGACGTTGATGTGTTCCTGCCTCCAGTGCCAGAAGCCTTCCACCAGTGTACGCCAGCGCCGCCTATTGTCCCAGCAGGCGCCGACCACGGGGATGGCCTCGAAGCCTTCCACCTCCTCACGCGGCGCAGCCCCTCGGGCCGTGCGCCGCCGTCTGCGTCGCTCGGGGCCGGCCCCGGCCTCGGCAGCGTGGGCCGCCTCGGTGGCCCACTGCGCCAGGCGGGTCCGGGCCCCCAGCGGCTCCCAGGCGGTCCTCCCCACGACGTGGGGCTCGCCGAACGCCTCCAGCTGCTCGGGGTCGTCGCCGTCGAAGCAGACCCCAAAAGCCGCGCCCAATGCCCCCAGGGTCGGGTGCGGCGGCGGAGGCAGCGGTGGCGCGGCCTTGAACCTCCAGCGCTCCCTCCACTTGAAGTCCTCCAGCAGCTCGTCGCCCGTGCCCCTCGTCTCCATGAGAGCGTAGCCGTAGTCCGACGAGTCGCCGAGGTAGACCGACGAGTTGAACGGTGCATCCAGCTCAACCTCGCAAGTGAAAACCTGGTTGGACATGAGCCAGAGCTCTCGCCGCACACCTCGCCACAGACGGCCCGACCTCTCCTTGTGGGACGCGACGTAGGCGTAGCTCTGCGAGAGGATCGACAGCAGCGGTCGGCCGAGGCCACACATGTGAACGGCGTGGCCCAGCCAGATCTCGAGCTGCCATCCTGCCACCACTCGGCGGCGAAGCAGGGCCACAGTCGCCAGCTTGAAGCGCCAGAGCCGGGCGGACCGATGCCGCAGGCGGCGGCCTGGCCCGTCGAACTGCAGCCCGAGCGCCTCGAGATAGGGGCTGCAAGGGACCTCATCATGGAGGTCGAGGCCGAAGGCGGCGCACTGCGCACGGAAGTCCTGGTGGGCCTGCTCCGCGTCCGCCGCGCTATGTCCCAGCCCCGTGTGGTTGTCCACGTAGACGGCGTGGACGGGCTGGCCAGGGACCAGGCGGGGGGCGGGAGCGCGCTCTCGGAGCAAGCTGCCCCAGCCGTCGGCAGCCACGGCTGCCGCGCGGGAAGCCACCGCCTCGTTGCAGAAGTAGAGGGCCCACGACCATCCCATGGGCATGGCCCCCATGCAAAGGTAGAAAGACTCGTGCTTGGCCAGCTCCACGTCCACGCCCAGCTCGGGGTCGAACACCCTGGTGATGCCAAAACTCCCCTTGCTGAACGACTCGTCGATCCCGAACCAGTCGGCCACCTCGACGATGCTGAACTGGTAGAAGCCGTCGCGCACGTCGGCGCCACTCTGGTGGAAGTCCAGGGCTGGGACGCCCCCAGCACCAGGCAGAACACAATGAGAAGCCATCTCCGCCGCCACGTCCGCGAACTCGGCCAGGTTGAGCTCCGCGAAGGACTGCGCGGTCCCCAGCTGCGTGGTGGGCGGCGGCTTGTGGCAGGCATTAGGGTAGCGAGCGTCCACGATGAGGCGAATGGCCCCATCCTTCTTCTTGACGAAGAAGAGTCCGATGCGGCCCTTGAGGCGTCTCCTGGGCACCAGGATGCCCAACAGCTCGTGCCGGGCTCGCTTGTTGCGCCGCAGCACGGGGTCCCAGTAGGGCTTGGGCGAGGGCTCGGAGGCGAACTTGGCCTCGATGTCCTCGGCGGACAGCTCGATGCACGTCTTATAGCGTCGGAGCCTCTGTGCTGCATGTGGTGGCAGCAGCGCTCTCGCATCCTTGGGTTCCACCACTCCCTTGGCCACTCGCAGCTTGGCTGGATCATAACTGGCAAGGTGACGTGGCTCTTGACCGTACAAGTCTTTCGTCTTGAAGAGCTCCTGGAGGGCTCTGCTCGGAAAGAGTCCGTCGGGGACCAGGCCTGCACGCCCCACCCGATCCTCGAGACTCGCCAACATCTCACGCTGGACTGCTGTAGGAGTTGAGCTCGCCAGCGGAGATCGTCGAAAGTGCGAATTGTTTGCTTGAGCGGCCGCCAGTTGGTTGACACCGAGTACTGTATCTCTAACAAGACGTTGCCGCGTCGTAGAGCGCCACCACCTCTGCTGCACATAGTGAGGGGCCCCACGAGGATATTGCCGAACATCAGGCACAGGAAGAGGAAAGGGTCCTCCGTGCCTCCACTCCCCGCCAGGCCACCAGTCGGCTTTGGTGACCTGCGGGCCGTCGGGCGCCATTTAGCTCGGCAGAGGGGCCTCGGCTCCTTGGCCTCCAGCCCCTCTGCCTTTGCCCTTCGCATCACCGCCCTTTGGCCCCTTCGGGCCGCGCCTCCTCTCCCGCTCGTTCCTGGTCTCCTCCTTGTACAACCTCGACTGCTTGAGGATGTTCGCTCTCTCCTTCTGTCGATCGGACACCCAGGTGCGGAACCGTGGCGCCCGCGCGGCACCGTCAGTTCCCACAGCGCCGTCGGCGATGACCCCGAGCCCGCTGAAGTCGGGATCCCTAGGGTCGCGCGCCACAGCCATCTCCAGCATGACGACCCGCCTCGCGAGGAGCTCGAACGAGGCCAGGTTGCTGATGTCCACCTGGTCGGTGCTGGTGGCAACGCGCAGCATCTCCATGGCATTCTCGTGCTCGTAGGCGATGGCGCTGTTCTGGTTGACCCCCGACAGCCTGATCCACTCTGCATGATAAGAAGTCGGGTTCCCTGAACCTTCTCTGGTCGAGGCCGCAAGCTCCTTACACACCCGCGGCCCCTCGAACCTCCACTCGGGCATGTCACTCTCGCGCAGCATGCCGACAGCGTCTGTCCACCCGAGGCGACGTGTGCCGTCCGCCGCTGCGTGGACGCCCAAGCTCCTGATATCCTCAGCCCCGACACGACGTTGCTCAGACCACTCCGCCAGGCGGGCGCGACCCACCTTCTCGACTCCACGAGCTGTGCCCTCACGTCGTACCAGCCCGCGGTTGCCCAACTCCACGAACTCGTCCCCCTCGAGGACGTCGGCGGCGACGAGCGCCCCGAACGCAGGGTCGTCGAGGCCGGCGTAGACCCACTCCTCGGCGTCCATGGCCTCGTCCTCGTCACCGCCCAGCACGGCCGCCTGAAGACGGGCACGTCTCTTGTGCCCCGCGACCGCCTCCCGTCCAATCGGGTCGAAGGCATAGAGGTCGCCAGCGATGGCATCAGGAAAGGCCTGTCCTCGCTCGAGCACCTGGTGCCGTCGTTCGTCCAAGTTGATCCTCTCGAGGTCGAGGTCTGGAGTAAGCGTGATCCAGACGGCATCTCGAACTCGACGCAACAAGATACGATGATGCCAAGTGAAATTAGGATCGTCATCGAAGCGCACGGCAACCTGTAACTCAGGAATGTCCGGGCACCGCGGCACTGCAGCCATGCCTCGATGATGGCGTCACTGGGCCTGCCGTCGGACCTGTCGTCAATGCCAATGTCGTCGGCGCAGCAGCAGGGGCGGCCAGCTCTGGGGCCGCGGCTGCCCGCGGCGCCGCCTGGGGCGCCGATGCCGCTCCGCCTGGAGCACGTCGTAGCCGAGGCGAGACCGCCAGGCCGACGGCCACCCCGGCCACGAAGACCACCGGCAGCGGCCAGGCCGGCGCCGAGGCCGGCGGCTCGGGCGCCCGAGCCTCGCAAGGCACTGGCGCCAGGCCCGGCGCTCCGCACGACAGGGGGCCGCGCTCCACGTGCGGGCAGATCAGCGAGGGGCACGGAGGGCAGGATTGCAGGCTGCTGCTGAGATGTAGGGAAAGGTGAGAGAGCTCTCGGAGGACCCCGCCGAGCTGAAGCAGGTCCATATGCGCTTGAGCATGTATGTCACGGGCGACGCAAGCAATCGTTCGGGACGCTCCTCTGAAGAGGGAAACTGATGAACCTTTTCTCAGTCCGTATCAAGCCGAAAGCCTCTCGGGCCAAAAGGCTTCAAGCGCAGACTCCGTGACAGCCATCACGGTGCCCGATCTCTGCACTCCTCCTTGGCAACTAGCCCCTAAGCTAGGCAGCCACCACCAGGCACCGTCACGCCGCACAGGCCGGTCGTGCAAGGCGTCGCGAAGCGACAGGAAAATGGTGGGACAGGCAACGTGCCCGTCTCGAAAAGCCAGCACAGCACCCCGCTCATGAACCTCACGTCGCCGACCTCTTGGCGATCGTCCGGTGCAGGGCGCTCCACCTCGACCTGAAATAGTAGCCCATCCTCTTGAGATGCTTCTGGACCACCTTCGCCGACAGCGGCTTGGTCAGGGAGTCGGCTACGTTCTCCCGCGTGTCGACCTTCTTGAGTATGATCCTTCTGGCCTTGACCGCGCTCTGAAGCCACAGGTATCTCGTCATAACATGCTTCTGGCGGCCCAGGCCCTGGCGCGATGCGAAAGCGATCGCCGCCGTCGAGTCCCCGCAGACCTCTATCGGGAACTCTCCGTGCTTGCAGACGACCTCGACGCTCTTCTCGAGCCCGAGGTCCACGGCGATGGCAGCAACCTTGAGCGCGGCAGCAGCCGCACGGAGGATGCCGTAGTACTCAGCCTCGCCGCTCGAAAGGGACACCGTGCTCTGCAGCGATCCCGTGGCCGACAGAGTGTGCTCCCCGAACGCCAAGACCGTCCCGCTCGTCGACTTCCTGGTGATGAGGCACCCCGCGTAGTCCGAGTCGCAGGTGGCCGTGATCCTGTCCGGCATCTTCTGCTTGTTGAACCTTGCGACTAGACACGGATGCTTGACGAGGTACCTCCCCCAAGCCTCTTGACCATCATCATGTCTGCTGACGTCGGCGCCTGCATGCGCCTCGAGCACTGCTTGACCGCGTCGACGATGTCCGGCCTGTCCAAGGTGAGATAAGCGGCACGCATCACCACGCTTCGATACCGACGGACCTCGTCCGGGGGCAGCGTGCTGAGCTTCGCCTCGTAGTCGATGTCCGCCTCCGTCTTCTTGACCGACGGCACGTCCAGGCCCTTCGACTCGTTCTCGAGGCCCAGCTCCTTGATCAGCAGCTCAACGTGCCTCTGGTCCGACTCGATCTCCACCGCCGGGGTGGAGCCATCAACGTACCGCAACACCCTGTTGAGGAACACGACCTCCTTCGCGTCCCCACTGTCGGGACCCAAGATCCCGGTGCACTTGATGTCGTAGCGCTCGGTCAGCTTCGCCTCGATCTCCTTCAACGTGATCTCGTCGCCGAGCACCATGAAGTCGTCGCCGTGAGCCAGCCCGCGACCTTCATCACTGGGACGATAGAACACTGCTGGGCTTGCCACGCCCATGCGCCACGAATCCTCCAAGAGCTGTCGACTCCAGTCGCTCTGCCACACTGAAGCCGCGTCCTGAGTACCATACATGGAACGTAGCAGCCGAGCGACTCCTCCTCCCTCCTCTTCAGGAAGACGAACGAACAAGATCCTCTGGGCGTCCCCGTACAGGTGCGCCCTGCTGACGTCCCAGAAGCCGATCTTGAGGGGGAGTCCTCGGGGCGAGCGGCTCATCGAGACCATGAGCGAACACAGGAGCTTGACCGCCTCCAGCGGCGGCGTGCTGCTGAAGAGCTCGCTCGCGCTCATCTGCTCGGACGCCTTCTTCGCAGCCTTGATCTCCATCGCGACCAGTCTGGAGCGGTACTTTGGCCTCTGCTCGTCGCCCTTGTTGGTGTCGACCCAGCGCGTCCGTAGCGGCGCCCGAGCGGTCAGGCGCCTGCAGGTCTCCTCGTCGCTCGGCTCGAACACCTCGCGATGCTTCATCCAGGCCAGCTCCTCCTGGCGCGCGGCCCGCACTCCCGCAGGGTCGAGCCAGCCCCCGTTGACGTCGTCCCAGTACCACCTGTCCGACTCAGCTGCACCTGGAGGGGCGTCTGGCTTGAAGTACTGCGCCTCCTCGTCTGGCACCGGTCCGACGCCCTCGAACGAGTTGATCTCGCCCGCGATCTCGAGCTCCTCCTTGAGCCCCTGCAAGATCGCGCGGCGTAGCGAAGGCGTGTAGGCCTGCGCCTTCCTAGCACGGCCTCCTCCAAGTAGCGGTACGTGTCGATGTCCTCCAGGACAGCAGACTGCTAGCACCTTAGCAAGGCGCTCGTTGTTGGTCAGCCAGCCGGTGCTCTTCTTGACCGGCCCGACCTTCCCGTCATCGCCCTTGAGCTCCAGGCCCCAGGCGCACATGTCCCCTCGCACGAGGTACACCCCAGGGAGCGAGACCACCCCCTTCACCGCCTCGTCGTCCCACGACTTGGCGTCCCAAGGGTGCTCGTGCAAGAACCACCTGCCCTTGGCGTGACGATCCTTGTAGACCTCCATCCCGAAGCGAAGCAACACGCGATCGTCCTCCTCGGCCTTGGCGTGCGCCTCCGGGTCCTTGTACCTGCCGCGGTTCAAGCTCGTCAGCTTCGAGACGCGCGTGCAGGGCGGCGCCCCGATGACCAAGTGGGGGTCCTGGTCCTCGAGCGCCTGCATGTACCTCTGCTGGTTCACGACCTTCCTCATGTCCAGCGCCTCCTGGGACTCCCGGTCCTTGAGGCTGATGTCCGCCGCTAGCCCTGGGAGCATGCCAAACTCCCCAGCCAGCTCAGTGAAACATCCTGGGTTGCAGTACTCCGAGAACGCGAGCGACTGCAACTCGAGCGGCACTTCCTCGAGTCCGCCCGTCTCCATGGCAGCAGGTCCAGCGCCTCCTGGGCCTGGTGCTGCCGCCGCCGGCGCCGGGCCTCCTGAGCCCGAAGCCGCCGCGGACGCTGGCTCCGGGCCTCCAGGGCCCGCGGCCGGCGTAGGGGGCGCGAGCGGCGCTCCTGCACCTCCTCCTGCTGGCCTCGGGGCCGCGCCCCGAAGGTCCACCGCCATAGGCTGGGGGGCTGCACGCGCCTCCTGGGGCGGCTGCTCCTCCTCGCGCCTCCTGACGCGCGGCGCCGAAGACCCCACGGGCGGCGGATCCGCCCGCGCCTGCTTCGCGCCTCTCCTGCCCTCGAGATCTCTCGGGGCTGGTGGGGGAGGCGGCGCGGCGGCGGCGGCTCCTGGCGCCGCTCGGCCTGCCTCGCCTCCTCTCGCCTGCTCCTCCTCAGCCGCCTTCGCCTCCCTGAACCGGCGAAGTCGCTCGTCACCTCGAGCCGCCAGCGCCTCAATCACGCGCTGTCGGCACAGCTCAGAGTGGGCAACTCCTGCGCGCCCAGTGGCCACTAGGTTCTCGCAGGCGACGCAGCCCTCGGTCGGCCCGATGCCCGTGTCCAGGATGTTGGCCCTGGTGACGTAGAAGCCCACGTCTCGAGACTCGGCGGCTGCTGGCAGCGCCACCACCACTGGCGCCTCCATGCGTCCAGCTCTCGGGGCGACGTCCGCAGGAGCTGCCGCGTAGCGCTCCTCGCCGCCCTTCCAGTCCCAAGGCTTGCCTTTGAGCCCGAGGACCTCCTCCTCGTTCCAGGCCCAGCGCTCGGCGGGCGGCAGGCGTGAGATCGCCGTGCCGCGCTGCACCCCCTTCGAGGTGAGCACCAGCGCCGTGCCGCTCCTGCTGGTGTGGCCCACGTAGTAGCCCGTGACCCAGCGGGGTTCCAGGTCGCGCTTGAGCGAGTCCTTCACCAGCTTCTTCACCTGGATGCGCTCGCCGAAAAGAACCGTCACCTTCTCCCAGCGCTTGCCAGACCTCCGCTGCTCACTCGTCTTACCGTCGTCGCCGATCTTGAACCTATTCAGCATCTGGGCTGCATAGGTGGGGGCCCACAGCATTAACGGGTGCCCGAACGGCAGACGCTGCTTCCACTTGGCCTGGGCTGACACCAGCACCGTCCTGACGACGCCCTTGATGACCTTCACCGCGTTCTCGGCTGCTCCATTCGCCTGGTGCTCTCCCACCGGGCTCTCGCGAAGCAGCAGCTCTTTCCCCTCGGCCTTGCTGCAGACGTCCCTCTTGAGCGCCAGCAGCGGGTTCTCGCCGTCCGACTGGTAGATGCACCTCTTGTGGCCTATGTGATTGAAGAAGTCGACCGCCACGCCCGAGCTGAAGTCGTCCTTCCCCTTGGCAGGGACCGAGCTCGCGCCGTGGCAGCCCGTCCCGGTCGGCAGGCAGTCGTGCATCACCAACACCGTGATCGCAGAGCTGACGTCGCGGCCTCTGCTGTCCGACTCGCTAGCGTTGAGGTAGCCGTAGTCGGTGACGACCGTAGGGACCTCACCCTCAGCAGGTTGATGTCCACGATGCGCTTGGCCAGTCCCACGCGACGCACAGCACGAAGGGCACCAGGACCTGAAGTGGACGTGGCCCTGCGCCTCGTGCTCCTCGATCTCGAGAGAGGTCGGCTGGGCGGGGCTCCTAGCCAGCCGAACCCGCGGCGGCCTGCCGCGCTGCTCTCGAGCCTCCTCCTCCTGGGGCAGCGGTCCTCCTCGCTGCTCCACCGGGGCTTCCGCGCCTCCTGCCAGCTGCCCGGCTGCTGGCGGCGCGCTCGGGCTTACGGTGGTACCCGCCGGCTGCCCCCCGACGCCTGCAAGGCGGGGAGACGGGCCGGCGAGGCAAGCCCTGCACGTGCTCGAGCGAGTAGATCCGCCTCGGCTCGGCGATGGGCCAGCTCCGACTCGATCGTGTTCAGCGGCAACTGCTCCAGCTCCTTGGCCTTCTCCTCCGGCAGCTTCAGGTAGGCGTTGTACACACCGCGCTCCCGATGCAACCTGATGTTGTTCTCCAGCGCTCCCGTCTCCTTGAGCTTAGCGACCAGCTTCATGATCGCCCGTCCGGCAGTGGAACCCTTCTCGATCACCATGCCGCAGCTCTCGTCCAGGATGCCGATCCTCTTCTTGAGCATCTCGCTGGCCGAGACGAGGGGTTTGGTAACAGCAGCCCTGCGCCCGGCGATGCGCATCCTGGCGCCATTCTCGTTGACGCCCTCCAGCACCCCGCCGCCCTCGTCTGCGATGATACCACCACTCGCCGTCTTGAACCTCTGACTCGAAGGGGCCGAAGTCGCTGGAGTCCATTCGCGGGGGATCACCGAGCTCGCGCATCCGCTGTCGAAGTTGACCTTCACCCAGCCCTTGTCGTCCACGATCCTCCTGTTCACCTCCTTCGCGTTCTCTTCGCGCTCGGCGGAGAACAGCTCCAGGAACATGTGGTCCTCTGGCTCCCAGTCGCCAGGGGCCTCCTCCTCGGACTTCCCGACGTCCAGCGCGCCCGCGTCGTGCTTGCCGCCGCCCTTCGGCTTCTGCTTGCCCTTGGCTTTAGCCTTAGCCTTGGCGATCACCTCCGCCGAGGCCGACGGTCTCCAGCAGTCCGAGCCCTTGTGCCCCGAACGCCCGCAGTTCCAGCAGACGAGGTGGGACGTGTCAGACCCCTTGGCTGAGCCTGAGCCTGAGCCCTTACCTCCGTTCTTGACTTTGTCGTCCTTGCCTTTGCCAGTGCCCGTCTTGCCCTTGCCGCCCTTGTCCTTGCCGGCCTTCCCGCCCTGGTACGCGCGGACCAGGGCGCCGATGTCCATGGCGTTGGGGTCGCGCTGCGCCTTGGTGAGCACCGGGGCGTCTCGAAGTCGAGCACCGGTCCTGGCTTCCAGGTACGACGCGATCTCCCTCCTGAGCAGCTCGTAGGTGTTCAGGCGGCTCTGGTTGAGAAGAACGTGTTCTTCGAGCTCAGCTGGTAGCAGGCTCTCCAAGGCAGACATCCGCACGCTGTCCGAGAGCCGCTCGCGGTTGCCGTCGTCGTCCCTCCTGGACTCGTACCGTTTCACGGCCTCCTCCCACCTCTCCAGGGCACCCGCGAGCTCCTCGAGCTTGCAGCGCCCGGGCGAGAGCACCTGCTTCAACAAGTTCCGCTTCCGCCCGCCGGTGGAAGGGTCGAACCTCCTCGCGAGGCGCCTCCAGCACTCGAGCCCGTTGCCCTTGTCGACGTTCTGAGTGATGTCGAAGGGCTCGCCCGTCACGAGCTGCTGGATCGCCGTGTGCAGCTGCGCCACCATCTCGTCGATGTGGTCGATCTCGCCTTCGCTGTGCGGCCCGAAAGCCGCCTGCCAGAGCCCGCGATCGATCGAGTCGTGCCGCTCGACGCTCCACTCCAGCACCGCCCTGAACTGCTCGCCGAAGACTCCGACTACGAACGACTCGAACTTGGCAGCCCATTCGCGGTACTTGGCCTCCGACCCGTCGAACACCGAGGGCTTGCCGATCCCTTTCGTGTCGACGAGCCTCTGGAACTGGTCGGGCCTACCCGTCAGGCGGGTCACAGCATCCACGAGGGCCGGGATGGCCTGGAGTCCGCCTTGCTGTTCACGCTGCAGTCGGGCGTTCTCCTCGCTAAGCCTCTGAACCTCCGCGGTCAAGGCCTGCATCTGTCGAAACAACTCTTCGTTGGTGGCCATCTCGTGCTGCGTCCAGCTAGCCCTCGAACTCCCTGGCGGTCTCTCAGACCGAGGATCCAACCAGGCTCCGCAATACCATGAAGAGGGAAACTGATGAACCTTTTCTCAGTCCGTATCAAGCCGAAAGCCTCTCGGGCCAAAAGGCTTCAAGCGCAGACTCCGTGACAGCCATCACGGCGCCCGATCTCTGCATCCTCGCCTCTCTGGAAAACACATGTCACAGACAAATGTATATATATATATATATACATATATATATATATATGCTAGCGCTTACCGCTGCCCACGAGGGCTTCTAGGGGCTGTGAAAAAGGGGAAAGTATGTGCATCGTTTGTTAATTTTTGCGGGGGGCGAAGCGCGCAAACGTGAAGTTCTGGGGCGCTTGGCGCAGAACATCGCTGTTGGATAGGTAAGTTTCAATGCAACTGTTAACACTTTTCGAGGGTATGTGTTTCCTTAAAAAAAATGGTGTGCCGATTTCTGGGTGTCTCCGGGGTGCCTTTCGGGCGCTTTCCGGGTGTTTTGACAATGAAATCTTGGGTCGATTGGAGCAAAACTTTGTTTTCATAATCGGAGGTTTCAATTCAAGCGCAACACTTTTGGAATATTTTTGTTTCTTGAAATTTGGCGTAAGCAATTTGCGGGTGCCTTTGGGGTGCATAGCGGGTGCCTTGGCCATGTAATCCCTGGGTCGCTTGGAGCAAAGCGCTGGTTTCCTAGTCGCACAGTTCAACAGCACATGCAGTACTTTTCTAGGAAATATCTTGTTCCAGGAATTGTGTGCTGGCGATTTGCGAGTATCTTTCGTGTGCCTTTCGGGTGCCTTAGGGGCGCCTTTCGTGTGACTTTGTGTTATTTCGTTCCTTTGTCATAGTTTTCCCCTCTTGTCCTTTTGTCCCCTTTTGTCACCTTGTATATCCTTTTGTCCCCTTTTGTCCTCTCTTGCCCCATTTTGTATATCTGCATTCCCTCCTGCCACGTTAACTGTCCGAGAGGAGGGAGGGCCGTTTTCTGACAACGACCGTGAGCGCAGCCGCAGGCTCTCCGCCCGCGTCGAGGGTCACTCCAAGGCGCGGGGTTGGCACCCGAACGACCCTCCGACTGACGGAGGGGGCGGTGGGGCGCGGCTTCATCAAAACGAGACGCGGGGTGGGAGGTGGAAAAAAGCACAGCTCTAAGCACAGAAGGCTGCGGAAGAGGGAAAAGGAAGGAGGAGGAGGAAGCCAGAGCACTACGGCCTAGGGGGGAATATAACCGTTTAGGCTTTGGCCAAACGAAACCATATTTCCTCCTGCCACGCTAACTGTCCGAGAGGAGGGAGGGCCGTTTTCTGGCGACGACCGTGAGCACAGCCGCAGGCTCTCCGCCCACGCCCGTCCCAGGCCGCTCCCTCCGGGAAAAAGCCCCCCCCCTGCGCGCCGCGCGCGCGGGCGGCTGGAGCCCGGCAAAAGGGGGGGGGTGATCGCACGACTGGCCGCGAGCCGGCTCCCCAGCCAAGCTCACCCCGCGCAATGCCCTGGGTGCCAAGCGCACTAATCACAGTAGCGCGGCACCGCAACTAGCTGCAGCTGCAGAGGGGCAACGCGAATACTAGAAACAGTATTGCGGAAAACAGAAACCGCACCACCGGGGGGACTGCGGGGCGGGGCTTACATCAACTGGGCACCGTCGAAAACAGCGGGTTCCCCCAGATTGGAGCCCGAGGGGTTCGCCAGGCCGCCAGCTTGGTGCCAGCTGCTTGCGGGAAAACCGGCATACGGTGAGGGGGTAACACCCCTCCGCTTACTCATGCTACGGCCAGCCCGCCATGGCTTCCACGGGCATCCCCCCTCCCCAGCTTCCCGTCCCGCCACCGGGTGGGGCTGGGAGGGGGCTCGCGCGGCAGGGGGGCAAAGCTGCTCCCGCCGGGACTCCTCCGGGTCAGCCGCGCGCGTGGTATTCTTCCGGGGGCTCCTCCCGGAACTTGACCCGCTTCCCTTCCTTCTCGGGTGGGGTCTGCCCCAGGCGGCTCGAGCTTCCCAAGGTGAGGTTGTAGTTCTGGGCGGACATCGCCTCCGAGAGGCCTTTCTGGGGTTCGTGCGCCCCCCAAAGGTACGCGTGGAAGGCGCCCGACCTCCACCTCCCGAACCGCTTGAGCCGCTCCAGGTCTGGCATGGCGTGGTACATAGCCGCGGCGCCTCCGATCCTCAGGGAGTGGCTCCCGATGCGCGAGGGATGCATCCCCACCGCCTTCGCCGCCTGGCCCAAGAGGTCGGTGATGTCTTTCCGCCGGATGGGGTTCCCATCCCCGTCTCGGAAGAGAGGGAGGTCCCCCTCCGAGGTCCACCGCTGGGGCGCCAACTTCTCCAGCTCGGCGAGGGCCCCGACAGGGCAAAGGGGGTTGCCCGTGGCGTAGTGGTTGCGGCAGCATCCGAAATTGTACTGGTCGGTCTTGCTCCCCTTGATGTAGATAACCACCTCGTCCGCGGACGCGAAGGTGGGGCAGACCGCGCCCTCCCTCCTCGGGGTGACATCCCTCCCGAAGAGGACCCGCTCCGCCGCCCAATCCCTACCCCCGGAGGTGTCGGCGAGGTACTCGGAGGCGCGCAACATAAAGAAGAAGGCGGTGGTGAGGGCGGCCCAGGCGGCCGCGTCTTCTACCCTCCCGGTGTCCAACTTCCCCCTTAGCCAGCGCATCATCTCAATGGTGACAGGGTACTTCCGGTTCTGCTTGGCGCCCATCCTCCGTAGTCCCCCCAGCGCCAGCGCGAGCCTGGGGGCCAGCTCCAGAGGGTCCGGGTATCCCGCCGCGATATGATAGTGACGGACCGCCATCAGCTTTCCCCGGATTGTCCCCTCCGAGCGATGCTGGACATGGGCCAGGTGGACGATCCAGTCCAGGAGCACGTCCTCATCCTGCCGCCGGCCCTCCCTCCCCAGCCCCGTGAGGAGCGGGCTCCCGCCCCGGACTTTGAGGAATAGGAACCACTGCCTCCATGCCACGGCGTAGGAGGTGCGCGTCCCCTTTGCGAGGTTCCCGAAGATGAGGCAGTCGAAAGTGAGCTTGGTAACTCAAATAGGGCATATAGCCTGTCATATAGCATCCGATTCCAAGGCGCTGACCGTGGACATCGGATGGCAAATAGCGTCCATCGCTCTGCTGTAGCTGTGAAGGTACAGTATGAGGGGTGGGCGGATAAGATAGGATAAGATCGATGTAATGATCTTTCCAGCACATAGCGAACACTCGCGGTGTCCGGGCAAATAGGGCGCGCGTGCCTTGAGCCCAAGGCAGCGGCGCGCGAGCTATGCTCCCGATACTGTAACATCTCCCAAAGAGCTACCCTTAAAGTCGGGAGGGGAGGAGACGGAGAGCATAGTCGCACGCAAAATTCGCGCGCACGACTGTTTGCAAAGAAATGAAAACAGTGCGTACAAACTGGCCAAACGCCAGAATGTAAGGCGAGTTTCCTCGCAAAGTATTTCACGCAAATACAGGACAGCCCCTTCAAATAATGAAGGGCTATCGGCCTAGTTAGAGGTAGGCCAAAGTTAGGCCATACCTCACCAAGCAAATGTGTATTAAGGCAAAGAGCCTGAGTTGTATGAAGCCGGCTCGTTGCCAGGCGTGAAATATGAGGCTCGTTTCCGAGCAACTAAAGGCGCGCCTTTATAATAGGCGCCCGTGCTGGCAAACTGGACCGCGAGGGCAACAAGGACATACTAAAATTGATTAGACTTGGGTTTGTCTCTGTCCTCGGGACCCCGAAAAGGAACACATTGCTTCACGTCATACTTAAATGACTGAGTGCCTGACATCACTTCCAGAAGCAGCTCCCGATGCTTCCCTTTGTATGCCCATCTGCGGTCATATCCCTAGTATCACACCATTGCACGTTATGTACTATACCTATATCCATAAGCTCACGTATCCAACTGATATGTCCAAGCAGAGTCCGTTCTGTGGGTATTTTGAGATCCCTGCTTGATAAAGATTTGTAGACGGACTCAGCGTCTATGGTCAGAGAGACTTTGATAGCAAGGCCTCCAACTTCACGCATATCTCGTAGTTGTCGTGGAGTCAAGGCCCCTGCCTTAAGCTCATGGAGAGTAATGAGCGTAGGGTAACACTCATCAAGTTTATGTGCGGCTGCAAGTGCCTCCGCAGCATAACTGGACCTCACCTGTAATCGGTGTGATTTGCATTGTCCGTCACGAACGACGGACTTGCCTTGAGGCGAGTTTCCTCGCCGTAGTACGTTGGCCCCGCGAATGCCGTAGCCCTTGGTCTCGTCATCCTCCTCCCCGGTAAGCTTCCGATATCCCGAATCGCTATGGATGTCGACTTCATTCGTCGGCTTCATCCGAGGGAAGGTGATGCGTTTCGGACTGCTGATCAGCTTTCGCGTCACAGCATTCAAACGTCTGACTTGTAAATTGGTGGGCTCTTGAATTTTCTGAAGAGAGACCACATATACCATAAGCCAGATTTGAGTAAGAAGGGCATAGGCGAGGGCTCCTCGCAGGCTGACGAACATGTCGGTAATAAGTTTCGTGGCTTTGGCGTCGGCCGCCGCTCCTGTAAGTTCTGGATGTGTGATGGGACGTAGTTGTTTGATATACTCGTCCTGGTCCATGATCACATCTCCCTGATCATTCTTAGTGTAGCGGACGGCACAGTTCGTATATGTGTGCTTGTTGAGCTTGCATTTGCCAAAAACCTTTTCGACACGTTGTACATAGTCGTCGATATTTTTCTCTAGACCTGTCATATTAATGTCATCGACATGTTTTGCAGTCAGAAGATCTTGGCTGAATTCAAATTCAGGATCGTAGCTAGTCGGTGAAAGTCCTATAGCTCGTGTGGTCGTACGAAGTTTGAGAGAGAACGCTCTTGGGGCGTCCTTAGTACCCGTTCCTGGTTTGAGGCACCTAAGACAGTGTCGACCTTCGTCGTAGGATGAGAAGCCGGGTAGGGTACGAAGTACCTGAGCGCTTCCTGGGGGAAGAGTAAAGCAGACCATGCGAGTTTCCTCGCCAGT